GAACGTGTCCACGAAAGAACCAGGCAGTCGTGCTACATATCATCTCACCGATTCCAATGAAACTTTGCCAGTTTAAAGGGTCTACCCCAAAACCCAAAAAGACAAACTGGTTTCTGTTTTGGTTTTTTCCGGGGGGAGATAGACCACCCCACCGGTTTTTCTTGGTTTTCACCAAGGAAATCGCTTCAAAATAGGTAAAATTAAAAAAGCTCTCACTGCAATGGTATTGAACCAATTACTCTGAGGGTTTGCACACATATTTTTACATCCTTAGTTTATGTCCGCCGCAAGTATCAGTCAATTTTATGGACGGCTTGTCAATCAACAGAGGCAAATAAACGACTGTGTTTTTAGACTTTCAATTCATCCAAATATTTGACAACTTTGAAGTCAAATATCTCCCCTTGCCAGAAAGCTACAACACTAATCTTGATTCCCCTTTATAGTCCATCATTTTATCTCTAAGAATCATCAAAAAGATCTTTGGGCATTGCCGCAATTTTGTCTTGGATGCCTTTTAAAATCTGCGACTGTCACAAGTTTCTCTGAACTACACCTGTCACAATTTTTGCTCTAAGCGGTCACTTGACCGAATAAACCTACATTTTTTTAGCTTTTTATAAACAATGATTGATCAAGAAAGATAAAAAATGTGAAAAACTTTCGAGATTTTTTGTAGGAATAGAAAATTTCAAGTTTAGAGAGATGCATGTGGGCGAAAAATCGATGTTAAAATCGTAGCTTTTCTCTCTTCTGTCGTTTATTACTTTGGAGATTTGCTAAAATCAGGAAATAGGGCTCTTATACGGAACAAAACATTCCTAAGTCTATAATTTGATTGTTAATTATCACTATCGCACAGCTCACAATAAGAAAACTGTAACAGGAGAGGAGATTTTAAAGTCACATGTCACGTGCTTGTTGATGTACAAGTTCCCGTGTGTAACGACTTCGGCTTTTCCAGACCGCGGATGACGGGAAACTCTGCCCCCCCTAATTTGATAGGAAATATCAATGTGATAGCCCCATAAAATTCAATAACTGCGCCATGTTTTCAGAAAATAAGACTGTAAAATTTTTTTCCACTTTCCACCGTCAAGAAATTCCACGTAGAAATAGTATTTGTAGCATGACATTTCATGAGAAGTAAAATTGTTGTTATGATCAACAACGTGCACAGATCTCTGAACGCGGGTCATCGCGAAAACTATACCCAATCCGTCACAGACAGAACAAGACAGCGAAATATTCTTGCTAAGAGGAAGGATGCATCAAGACGTTTCAGTCGTTGGCTGCCATCCAAAAGCACCCTAACAAAGGCAAACGCAGTGAAGCCGACAAAAAAAATCTGCCTATGATAAGATCAGGAGGAAATGGACGAAGACCGGCTTGCCATTCTATAAGGGTTACAACGTTCAAGGTCGGACCTCAGGTAAAATTCTGACGAACAATCCCTACCTAGCCAAGTGGACTTTGGATGGCCTCTTTGGAAAACACAAAAAACAGCCACCTTGTCTCAGAAAGCAAAGAATTATCTCCTAGATGTGTGCTGGACAGGGGAGGAAACTGGTAAGGCAACCGCCTCTAATGTGATTTCCCAAATATCAAGTTTAAGAGGCGACACCGGCCAGAAATGTTGTCTAAGACTGACTGGTTGATAGAGCAGCGAATCGCTCGATACTTCAGCCGGTTATCTGCCGTAACAAAAACTGGTTTATTGACGAGGTCCCCCTCTGTAAATATGAATGAGGACGAAGAGGATGATGCCGATGATCTAGCTTCAGAAGTCGAAACTAACTGAACAAGGCAGAAGATAATGAGGGACCTTGCAAAATTTAGACGAAGACTGCAGGAGGGGGTACAGCTGCTATCAAGCTAAAAAAAAATAAAGACCTTTGCATCTCACTTTTCTTTCATATTCATTGTCTTTTCTCACGAAAATAACTGACTATGTCTTGGAATTTTTTCGTCAAGGGAAATTTGCAGGAAGCCTACTGGTTAAAATACTGCTGGCTCATTCACGCAGTTAAACGCCGGCAACACTCGATCTAGAGAGATGTAGATTTATATGTAGCAATAGAATGCTTGAATAAAATGCAGACATTTTATGATCGCAGCAAGCAATCATAATCGTAGAGATCTGCAGATTATTCTGAAATTGTTATCTAGCAGACAGCATGAATAATTCCTACGGAGAGTCTAATAAAGTAATAAACGACAGAAGAGAGAAAAGCTACGATTTTCCCATCGATTTTTCGTCCACATGCATCTCTCTAAACGTGAAATTTTCCATTCCTACAAAAAAATCTCGAAAGTTTTTCACATTTTTTACCTTTCTTGATCAATCATCTTGTATAAAGAGCTAAAAAAATGTAGGTTTATTCAGTCAAATGACCGCCTAGAGCAAGAATTGCGTGACAGGTGAAGTTCAGAGAAACTTGTGACAGTCGCAGATTTTAAAAGGCATCCAAGACAAAATTGCGGCAATGCCCAAAGATCTTTTTGATGATTCTTAGAGATAAAATGATGGACTATAAAGGGGAATCAATATTAATGTTGTAGCTTTCTGGCAAGGGGAGATATTTGACTTCAAAATTGTCAAATATTTGGATGAATTGAAAGTCTAAAAACACAGTCGTTTATTTGCCTCTGTTGATTGACAAGCCGTCCATAAAATTGACTGATACTTGCGGCGGACATAAACTAAGGAAGTAAAAATATGTGTGCAAACCCTCAGAGTAATTGGTTCAATACCATCGCAGTGAGAGCTTCATACCTTTTACCTATTTTGAAGCGATTTCCTTGGTGAAAACCAAGAAAAACCGATGGGGTGGTCTATCTCCCCCCGGAAAAAACCAAAACAGAAACCAGTTTGTCTTTTTGGGTTTTGGGGTAGACCCTTTAAACTGGCAAAGTTTCCTTGAAATCGGTGAGATGGCATGTAGCACGACTGCCTGGTGCTCTCGTGGACACGCTCTTAAGAACATTGTAACATGATTTCTTATTGTCTCTCTGCTCATATCACGGGGTCTTTTGCAAAGGCGCAAAAATCACTTCAGGTTTTTACCCGAAATTTCCTTTTTTCATGGAACAGATAGTCTAGAGATTTATGGTGCATAACATACCTCAAAATAAGTAGACTCGTTTGAAATAATTTCAAGAGTTGATGTTATGATTTTCTCCAGGATGGACGTGGAAGGGGGTCGGGGAGGGGGGAGGGAGGGAGGGGGAGGATGGCAATAAACGAACATTTTTTAACCTCGTGAAGCTCTACGCGGTTAGGGAGTTGACTTCTGCATTGGTAGCAGCAGTATTTTAACAAGAAAGTTTCTAGGAATACTCATATTCATGTTGACAACAATCGGTCAATCGTGGTCTGGTTCAGTATCCAATATGAAGTTTGAGGGTTAAAAAATTACTAAATTTTAATTTTTTCATTTTTCTATATTTACGACTTTATCAATAAACAGAAAGGCTTAAACACAAGCAAGAAGATGGTGAATGAAATGAACACTCGTGTCTCCTACTTATATTAGATGTAAATGAAATAAAGCGCCAAAGAATTAAAAGCCTTGCTGCATCCAACCTTAACCACCTTTGGTCACTTCGGCTCCGGACTGTTACATACCGGCTCCCGCGGCTCAGGTCCGACCGAGGAAGTTGTAGCGCATGCCTCTTGTGGCTAGGGTCCCGTCCTTCCGGCCGGTCGTCGACTGCGATGGACTGCTTGCAGTGCTCCGAGGCCGCTGCCGGTCGTTGAGACGGTGTTCTCGTACAACGCGCTTGGGACGCTGGCGGTCATATGGGTCCATCCGACCCGCCTTGAAACACGGACCAAGGAGTCTAACATGTGCGCGAGTCTTTGGGTGAGCAAAACTCCGAGGCGCAATGAAAGTGAAGGCGGCCCCGTGCCGCCGAGGTGAGATCCGGCCGCCCTTTGGGTGGGGTCGACCTATCCTACCCTTAGGGAGGTTTGAGTGAGAGCGTGTCTGTTGGGACCCGAAAGATGGTGAACTATGCCTGAATAGGGTGAAGCCAGAGGAAACTCTGATGGAGGTTCGTAGCGATTATGACGTGCAAATCGTGAGTAGGCGCCTAGATGACGGTATTTAAACACGGCGGGAAAATTCAGAAAGTAAACAACACAGTTATCTGGTGCTCTTGGTGGGATTATGTTGCTATCAACCGGTATGGACGTGTTGTCCTTTTTCAAATGCTGTTTGTTGCAGTGAGAGAACCGCTTACTGTCATCGTGGTCAGAGATGCGTAAACCACGGAAGACGATGTATGAAGCAGCATTAAGTCTGCCGCTTTCTATTTTGTTCCTCAATAATTTTCCTTACATACAAGTTGGTTTCAATTTCGTTTTTTTCGATGAATTATCTAGTTATTTTCGCTTACTTAATATTTTATATGTTCTCCTTAAGAAATTCACTGCAGCTGTTCATTCACAAGCCTGTCACGCCATCCCTCTTTTTTTGGGATGCCAATGCTTCCATTAGCTTATACCTAAAAAAGCTTTGCAGGGGGCTTAAAAAAAAAAAATGTGCCTATTTTGGTACTTGTATAACTTTCTCAAAGCCTTTGTTCAATCTGAAATGCAGAAAAATAACATAACTTTTTAAAACATTTGCCTTTCGAGGATTTTTAGTACATGCACAGACACGAGCTCGTTCCCAGGGTCTTTTCCCTTCCTCCCTCTGCGTATCTAACGTGACGTAAGCAGTTTCGATTTCATCCGAAGTCGTAACCACTCCCTTCCGTTTCATGATATTCGTCACATGGTTACATCGGAAGTGTTCGAAAGAGGACTGGGATTATTTCAAGGAAATTAAAAATGTATATACGGATCGATGTACCTCCATATTCCATTTGATGTAATTGGTCACGCTTCTTCATTCTTCAAGAAGATTAAAAAAGAAGAGAATAATCAATTATTGGACGCTTATGGAAATCTCTAAGAACCTAGAAGTTTAATCGTTTTACGTCTTGCACGTCAGTACGGTCTCAGACCTGCCGAAGTATTGAAAAATTTGGAAAAAGGTTTGACTTACACCTTACATCGTCCAAGAAGACGAGGAAGACTTCTTACACTGCCCGTAATGGTCTTTGGTAAAGACGAACAACGAGCAGCCGATATGCTAGAATTACAATCTATAACTCGATACAATGGAGGAGATCCATCTTCTGGTCGTCATCGATGTCTTCTCGAAATTTGCATGAGTTCAACCCATCAAATCTAAAACAGGTGTAGACGTCACAGAAGCCTTTGAAAGAAGACGCCTTTGAAACGCGCCGAAGGACGAACACTGCAAAAACTTCAAACGGACGTTGGTAAATAGTTTTAAAATAGCACTTTCCAGAAGTTGATGAAAGTTAAGATATTCTACTCTTTCCAACAGAGGAGATAACAAGCCAGCGTCGTAAAGAGATTCAATCGTACCTTGGAAGAAAGACTTTATCGTTATTTTACGCTATACCAAATCTAATTATGTTTTTAGGATTTACACATCTTGCAAGCTTTGGTAGATGGGTGCAATCAATCGTATCATCTTAGTAGTGGAATGAAACCTTCTCACATCAATATCGAGAATGCAAGTCAAGTGTGGGACACGGTGTATGGAAAACGAATCAGTCGAACTGAAAAGGATCGTACAAGAGCTCGTTTTGAAGTCGGTGATAAAGTCCGTTTAAATGAAAAAGCCAGGACTTTCCAAAAAGAGTATCTCCTAGGTTGGACGTAGGAAGTATTTATCGTATCGCACGTGGTACCGGGACTCGTGAATACCTACAGAGGCAAAGAAATGGACGATTCATCGGGTCAAGGTACCTTTCACGAACAAGACATTCAAAAAGGAGAAGTGCCCGATGGTGCCAGATTTTGCTTTGTATTGGAGAAACTTGATGCTAAAAGCTTCAAATTCGCGAAACCCATACAGGTTATGCTAACTACTCTTATTTTAAAGCGTTTCGATTTGTTCCTCTTTTTCTGTCTCTGCCTCTAAATTCAGTCACTTTGTCACATTTTTCCAATTTTCCCTCTCAAATATTCAACTTTCTACTCTTATGACTCGAGATTTTGGAGTGACACAAATGGCTTTAACCTTCTTGGAGGGAAGACTGGGTTTGACTCGCAATAGACCAAGTTTCCAACGTACTGAAACACCTCTTTCTTCAAGATCTGTCTCGTTATGAAGATCAATAAACAGCACAGGTTCATTGTCATTTGAAAGCAGGCCAGCTCCTAACGGACAACTCCGCAACACCGCACCGGTTCGTGACACGTGAAAGACGCTTTTAAAAGACCTTTAGCAATTAGGACTGCAACACCAAAGAAGACGTCGACATAAAAATGAATGCATATTTTTAGTTGAAATTTCGCGAATGACTAGATGTGTTTAACATCTCTTACGGCGCTGCAATATAACCTAAGCATAACGTATGAGAGCAGCGTTGAGTTCATAATGGAATTTTGCTGTAGAGGTTTCCTTTCTCGGACCAAGCAAATTTTGATGATCTCACATTGTTATTTTGCAGAGGAGGGCTAAGAAATGTACACAGTTTTAAAACTCACATGCTGAGCTATTGCTGTGCTCATCAGATCTTTTGTTTTGTCACGTCCTCGTTGCTACCACCGTCGTAGTTTGCTAAAGTTCCCTATTGGCTCGGAAGCATCCTTACAGCAAAGTAGGAACTAATAAGGGATCACTGTTATGCTGTCAGTCGCTTGTCATCTGTGACTCCAGAATTGGCTTTGGTACACAAACGCATCAAAGTAATGGGATATATCTTGGTGCAGTGATCAAGAAGACAACAAGCTTTCTTAGAAAAGGCCCTAAAGCCACATTAAATGTAAATTAGAAATTTGCAAAAGAAGGGTAGAGAGTCAGCAGAAATTACAAACTAAGGCTACAATAACATATCTAGTTTGCTTGGGATTTTCTCCAAAAACACTTTTTTTTTAAAAAAATCCAGTCTCTGTACTTTTTACCTTATGCACAGAATGGAACAGCTTTTGAACTTATCGCGATTAGCCTTGTGACTCAATTTTTCACAAACCAATTAAATTTAAAATCGATGATAGGCACCTGCAAAGCCGGCCACCTTATGTCACTTCCCTAAAATTATTCATTATATTTTACCTGAAGAAAGTACAAACTCAAAAACCATTGCTTAGTACAGCAATTTATCTTCAACTTTTAGCTTATTAGTTTAATGATCTCAATCGTGATGAACATTACTCTAAGGTTGTTCTTGATGCCAGTTTGTCATATGACCTGTAGTGCGATAATAAAAATTTCTGAAAAAGTCAAAACGAGCTGCTATAAAATGCGTTTGGTGATCTAGTTTTCAGGCGGAGGTCGATTTTAGGCACAATAAGGGCTTAATAGTTTCGCATTTTTCTACAAGCTAAAGCCTTGTGTAGCAGCACAGGCATTTAATTTCCGTATAGTTTCTTGCTAAAAAATACAAAAATCGAACATCACACTTGAACCGCTGTTGTGTATATAAGATTAATTATTGATTGACTCTTCGTGACTCTTAACTCTCCCAAGGGCTAAAGATATCAAATTAAAACAGAGAACAATGGTATGACATCCAGGTCTCATTGGTTAAAGACAGTTCGGAAATTTTAAATGCATTTTTTGCTTCAATTTGCATATCTTTTGCAAAGCCGCTCTCAGGGGATCTGCACCATGAAGAATTCGATTTTCATCCGTGTTCTGTTACTTTTGTGCCTTCACATGGCTGATTCTGTCCCTTCACAAGGTTAGCTTCACTATAATTGAACATATGTGGGAAGAGTGAGGGGAAACGAGCCCTTCTTTAACGTAGTTACCGTTAAACACCTGTCACTTGTTTAAAGAAGGTTTTGCTATCATATCCGTATAGAAAGTCCTGTAAAGATGATTTAACGCTTCTTAACTGCTTAACTAAGTAAATTATATTTGGATGGGTGGTGAGAAGGGAAGATAATTTGTTTGAGTGACTTTGTGAATTTCCCTCGCAACGAAACTGCGAAAGGTTTTTGCGTGTTTTTTTAAGCGTTTGTGTTTTTTTCATTTAATTCCCCTTAATCACGGAATATCAAAAATTTATCGTGCTTTGGTAAATATGTAGCTTTTTTTTGGTTGTATTCCAATAGGCTGAATTGCGCTTTGACTGAGTAAAATCGCTACTCTTTATTTTGAGAGCAGATCTTTCCAGAGATCATATTTTAGCTATTCATAGGAGTTGTCTCAGTGAAAGTAGGTTAGACCAGATGAAGACCACTGACAACACTGCTGCTAAATTCTAGCAAACTAATAATCGATGGAATAAAAAAGACTCTCAAACAGGAACTGAAGAATCGCTTTCAAGCACCGCGTGAAGGAAAACATGATCATCGACTCTTATAGTTCGAATATCACAAATGAATAGATGAATTAAAAAAGAGGCTACTTTTATATATAAAGAGATAAAGTGTCGATTGTTATTGAACTTCATCTATAATCCTTTGCTGTCACCGTTATTGCTACTATTATTATTATTAATATTATTATCATTATTATTTGGTCTTTTATCGTATTGCTTGTTTTCTTATATCTGTATATTTGTTGTTGTTGTTATTTTTTAAATTTTAAAGACTTCTGTGATGCAAACCAATGCCGACAGTTAGAGTTTACGCCTGAAAAAGAGTTTGACGGCAAACGCCTCACAAACCACGTGATTCGTATCGTTGAGGTCATGAAAATGAAGTTTTGTGAGAACGTGTGTTATATGGAACCCGACTGTGTCAGCATTAATCTTGATAAACGAGTGGGTCAACAAGGAGATTACAAATGTGAATTGAATAATGTTACTCATGAAGGACACGAACTCGAACTGGAGAAGGAAGAACACTTTTTTTATCATGCTGCTGAGGTAGGTTTTGTTTCATCTGCAAATACGTAGTTTGAGTAAAACAACTACTTTCATTATCATAAACCTTGAAATGATTGCTTGAACTCGCTATTATCACCATCATTATTGTAATCGTCATCATTCGTTATCATAATTGGTTTTTTTCTACATATCCAGTTGAGTGTTCTTGGTTCCCAGTACATTCAAGCAAGAGAAGTGTATCTAAATAAATTAATGTACCAAAGTCCTGCATTAATATTTCAAGGTATTATGTTTTTCTCCTTTCGGCCTCAGAGTGCTTGTGTTAAAAACCCTTGCAAAAATAATGGTACTTGTCAAAGCGGTTTTACCGACAAAGGATATCGCTGCTTGTGTACTGCCGGATTCAGAGGTCAAAACTGTAAAAAAGGTAAACCTTACTGCATTTTTAAAAACGAGTAAAACACGGCTGTAAGCTCGTGGAGCTTTAACCACAACTTCAATTTAATTAGGGCAAAACTTTAACAAACACCTCACATTCCATCACTCCAAAGTGAATCAAGCGACAACAGCTGCATTGCTGACTCGCCTCCAGTCCTCTTTTTTCTAACATGCGATCACGGAGTAGCAGGAAACAAGGAATTGTCTTTCGCGAGACAGAGGGGCATATTGTTGCGCATGTTCTGTAAACTTGTTTTGATGCGAGAAACCACCGGTATGCGCCTGCGTCGGTTTCCCGCTCAAGAAAAGCAGGAAGATACGTCGGAAAACAACAATGGATATTGTATTTGAGACAACCTTTCTTATCATTTTTCCCTATGTAACTTAAATGGAAGCGGAAAAGTCTTAAAATTGTTGTGTGGTGTGTGGAAGGAAGTTACTTTCAAAAATGAAAGGTTGTACAAACGACTTCAAGTCTTGTCTTGTGATTGTTTGGGCGTTCGATGTAGATGATATTATTTGTGAAGGATGCAAGAGGCCTGTCGAAGAGCACAAACAAATTGGATAGTATACTTTTATTGGGTCATTGCTATCTCAAGTTATCGTTGATCGTTTGAAGTACTCACTTTCCTGTGGGCGTTTTTTAGAGCTCCAACTGTACTGATAGTGCAATGTACTTCCAATTCTAGCGAAAAATTAAAGTTTACAGAAGTATGTTTTTTTTCTAAAGTTTCTTTTTGACACGAATCACAACCGGCGGGGCCGATTACCAAAACAAGAAAGGTCAATGTCGAGTAAACAAAAGTAAGACAACGTTAGTACTAGAGAGACGGACGTTACATCGAAGAGCTTATTAGAAATTGAGGAATAATTATTTACTGGAGTGAGGATAAGTCTTTTCAGTCATTAGTTTCGGAAATATCATCAGATATGATCAATGATATGGGGAAATTGTGAATTAAAACAAGTGTTAGTTTGGGC